ACCACCAAACCAGCTTTACAACAAATGCTAAAGGAACTGCTCTAGACAAAAACACAAGAGAAGGAAAAGTCCTATAATAACGAACCCAAAACAATTTAGAAAATGGGAATAGGAACATACATATCGATAATTACCTTAAATGTAAATGGACTAAATGCTCCCACCAAAAGACACAGATTGGCTGAATGGATACAAAAACAAGACCCATATATATGCTGTCTACAAGAGACCCACTTCAGACCTAGAGACACATACAGACTGAAAGTAAGGGGATGGAAAAAGATATTCCATGCAAATGGAAACCAAAAGAAAGCTGGAGTAGCAATTCTCATATCAGACAAAATAGACTTTAAAATAAGGACTATCAGAAGAGACAAAGAAGGACACTACATAATGATTAAGGGATCGATCCAAGAAGAAGATATAACAATTGTAAATACTTATGCCCCCAACATAGGAGCACCTCAATACATAAGGCAAATACTAACAACCATTAATTAGAGCAGCTTAAGTATTATGCTTCTGAAGTAGAACACTTTGTTTCCTTTGCCCTCTCTCTCACATACTGACATGCTGACACACACCACTCCTCCTCTTGTTATGAATACGTACTTAACTCTAGGGTGACATGCTGCCATTCTTAATAGGTGCATATTAGGTGGAAGGATGAGCATCTTTTAAGAAGCAGATGGAAACTCAGTTGGAAAAGCACAGGAAATATCAAAATGAGAAACAGCTGAGTTGGGACAAGAACACAGAGTGAAAACTAAATGGTGTCTGTGTAAGGTTCAAGAGGATTGGTTAAATTCACATCACCAGCCTGCTTTCTTTGCTGTTGTGTGCATATCAAGGCCACCTCTTAGGACGGTGTGCAAGGATCCTGGGAAGAGAGGAGAGGAAGGAAGGCTGAAAGCTACCCCTTTGCTTGTGCCTGTGCTTGTGAGAGGGATCGCATTTTCCTAATTGTACAAAGGTATCAGATGGGTTAGTGGTAGAGCTAGTCTACATTTCAGCAAAAACAACTGTGAGTAAATATTGAGTCACTGACAAAGAGTTGATTTTTGTTGTAGATTAAGCAGGGCAGGAAATACCTAAATTATAGCGGGGGTTTAAGTTAGATCAAGGAGGTGTATCCGGAGGTTTTGAAAGAAAAGGTGGACTGTTATCTTTCTAAGATGGTTCTAGATCCTCTATAATGCCAGTTTTAGGGACCCAGCAGACTTCTTTGAGATCACGGAGTCACGGCAACAGAACTCTAATGTCTTCATTTTTCTTGTTTCCTTAAACACAAGCTAAATTATGCTCACTATTGAGTTAGCAGAGTGAAACATATTATTACCAATTCACTTACATAAGGATGCTGAGATTCAGTGACTCTGAAATATCACGACAAATATAGAAAATATAACCCAAAATGTAAAAGGTACAATTAACACTTCATCTGATTTGACTTTTGTGAGTGGGGTCTGGGCGTGCATCCTCCTTACTAAGGGCCTAAAATGGTTGCAAATGTCCCTTGGCCCTGTTACTATCTGCCTCCAATCTTTAAAAAGGGTCCTTGGTGCCTGTTAGTTAGGAAGCAGGCAAAATAAGGTCAAATAAAAGTCAGAGTATGGTGGGCTGCAATTTTTCTTCTCATGCATTCCAAATTAAGAGGGAATGTAAGGGTTAACTATAAAGTATTCCACCTTGAACTCCCACACTCTCTTTATCTAGCACACCATAATAAAAGATCAAGAGTTCCTGCTTATTATCTTATTTTTCCTGCTTGCTCCACCAGGCTAAGGCCCAGTCTGGTTATGGATTAGCATGGTGATCGATAGTAAAGCCTGCTGTCTCTCTCGGCAGGGGAAAATGAACTCAAAATGCAGTCAAACTCTTATTGATCAAGAATATAGGTCTCACTTTCATTACCTCTGTCTCCTGATAACCCACAAATAATGTGATGAGCTGCTAATGTCTCTGATTTTCAATGGACCCTTCACCCCTCCTGTCTGCACATTGCAGCTTTTATTTTCATCTTGATACACACTCTGTGTAATTTATGGAGCACTAACTCTCACTCTCTTACCGTCAGACCTGGTCAATCAGAGGTAATCATATCCCTCTTCACTGGGATGAGGCTCCAGCGAGTTCAAAATATAGTTTTCAAACATGCCAAGGAAATGCAATATGCAGCCGATTTCTTTTGGGGACAGAGAGATGCAAAGTCTTCTCGATGAAGCAACACTCAGATTGGTGGTGACCTTCTCAGGATCTGACCTGCTTCTACTGAAGTAGCCCCTGACTTGGCAAACGTAACCGTTCAAGTCTCTTGTACGGCTAATCTCGTCTCAGTTTCTGCTTCTCAGAGGACCTGATCTGATGCAGATTCTTTTTACCACTGTGAATATTGGCTCTCAGGGTGGGCAATGGCTGTGGTGTAGAAGAGGGTCCCCTTTCCCCTTGGTCACTTAATGACCTCAGAAAGTTTCTGTTAAATAGCTGTAGAAAAGAGTTTATAAAGAGGTCCTCAAGTATAAAACAGCATCCAACATGGGTATAGGACAGACTCTGCTGAACTTTATTATTTTCCACAGTCGAACTGTTAAAGTCAAATTAAAGCTAGTAACAGTTGCTTTACCTCTCAGATCTAAACTAAGGGAATGCTCAGCTAATTGAATCCCTTTTGTGAGGAAAGTCAGAGTATTTTCTGCTGACAATCTGATTAAAATAGATCAGAGTGATGCAAATAAAATCCTCTTTCCTGGAGGGAATACCAGATGACCAACAGCAAATAAAGTGATGAAATACTCTGCTTTTGGTTCAGCCGATAGAGTCTGAATGGTGTTTTCCAGCTCCAGTCCAAACAATTTGTACACCTGTTGAAAATAAAATAAAATATGACAGTGGTACAGAGTCTGGGGGATTAAGGTGATTTGTACTGATCTCTGAAAGCTGAGGTAATTGCAGGTCTCATTTTCCTCTTTTGTTCTGCAGAGCCGCATTTGAAATTTGACAAGAAAGTCCTCTCTCCCTTCCACTTTTTTTATTTTTTGCAGAGGACTAGGTGGAAATTTCACCAGATTTCCCCCTTTCCTCTCTGCTGTGTCTCCTTTGAAACGCTCTGGTTTCCTTTGGCTCATGAAATGAGATAAAGGGAAAACCAATCCAGTGTAGACTTTTGTTTACTTGGCAGATTTAGGAACTACCCTGGAAGGCATGCTCTTTCATTTATTGTTTTAAAAATATCCTACAAAGAGGGAAGAGATATGGGAACATATATATATGTATAACTGACTCACTCTGTTATAAAGCAGAAACTAACACACCATTGTAAAGCAATTATACCCCAATAAAGATGTTAAAAAAAAAAAAAAAAAAAAAGAATGATCCAGAAATACTATACTGAGAAGGTAATATTTGGGTAAAAATCTAAAGGGAATGAGTGACTGAGCTTCTGCAAGTAAAATGTCAAGTAAAATGAGGACCAATAATTAGCCATTCTAGGTTGGTGGGACCTCCTATTCTTAGCTCACATAGGTAGGTTTATAAAAGTGATCTCATTTCTGGTCTCATTAGTAAGTCTGAAAGTAACCCTGGAATTTTTTTATATGAATAAATTATTAATGAGGATTTCAAGCTGGTGACATTCTTTGGCATGTTGACATGTAACTCATTGTTGGGTGAGTTGTTTATCTGGGTGGTTTAGTGTGGATCTGGGCTATGTAATGTCAAGGAGCACATTCTAAAATCTCTGTGCAGAGGGTCCAATACCGCTTGAGAAGGACACCTCAAAGCAGGTGCCACTTGTTGCCACTCTTTGTTTCCATTCTCTGGATATCATATTCATCATTGTTTCAGATATAGGTAAAGATGGAGAAGTTAGATACATTTAGTTATACCAAAATAAAAAACTGCTGCACTTGAAAGATACCAGAAGACTAGAAGAAGGTATTTTCTGCAAGTAGTACTCATAGAAGACCCAGAAAAACTAAATGTAGTTAGAAAGACTAAAATTAACCAGTCTGACTGTATTAATTGCTGACAAGGATATGGGGAAATTTATTTATATTCATGCACTGGTAGAAGTTTAAGCTGGCATAGCCTTTTTACAATAGCAAAAAATTGGAGACTGTTAAAATATCTGTCAATAATGAAATGGATAAATAGATGTGATATAGTAACATGATATAATACTATACAAATGGATAAATAGATGTGATGTAGTAACATGATATAATACTATACAGCAGGGGAAAAGGATGAAATATATGGGTAACCTCAAAAAGAATGCTGAATTTTTTAAAAAAGTAAAATTCAGTGTGATACTTTTTACATGAAAGACACATAAACACAAGCATACTATGTATTATTGAGGGTTATATACATACACACACACATATATACACACATACAAATATATGTAAAAGTATTATAAACAGAAGATTGTGCAACAAACTCATAGTGAGTGGCTGGTCTTAAAGAGGGCTTTAGCTTTATCTGTAGATTGGAAGTAAACATGATAGAATGTTTATTTCTTAGTGTTAGACACGTAGGTATTTGTTATATTATTCTTTTTACTTTTGGGTAATTTTATAGTAGCTAAACAATTTAAAAGAAGGGGCCAAGTTTCATATGATGAGCCCCCAGAGAATAATTTACCAATTCAGTGACATATAATTTATCTTTATTTATTGTAGACCATCTACCTCTTTCTATATCAGAGGAAATGAGGTAACTGCACTGCATTAACTCATGACAACGGTCTCTCCTAATGAGTCCTTGATGGTATCACACTCAGATGGAAGAGCAGGGATCCTTATTAGCATATATCATGCCCTTTATTATGAGTCTCTTTTTTTTTACTTTTTTATAACTAACTGCAAGCGTATCAACACATTCAAAGTACATTTGGCTCCATAGCTGTAAGCATGGAGATCCTAGCATGACAGACTGGGATGCATAGAAGCTCAGTAACAGCATTGTGCTTTTCCCCTTGTCTACCCTCTTCCCTACAGGGAATCTTTAACCAGTTTCAGTGCAGTACTGAAAAAGTGCTTCCATCTGACACTCTCCGCAGTGCTCTGGCAAAGACTTTTCAGGATGAACAGCGTTTCCAGCTGGGAATTATGGATGATGCTGCGGAGTGCTTTGTAAGTGCTGGCCTCTGGCCCTCTTTGATATGGGATGAGACTGTGGATGGTCTCCATCAGGGACTGGCTACTTTACTGTGCTCCTGGTCTCTACAGTTATAACTAGGAATTTCCCTAGTTTCTATAAGTTGTTTCTGCTAATAAAGTATGAATTGCCTAGTGGGTTTATTCTTTTTCCTTCAGGCTTAGGGTAGTTTTGTGCTTGCCATTGCACAGAACAGTAGCTCTCACCTTCAGAGGAGACAAGACCCATTAAAATACAAATTTCTGGGCCCAGTTCCCTTGAGTTTCTGTTTCAGTAGGTCTGGAATGGGTCCCAAGGATATCTCTTAACAAGTTCCTAGGTGATGCTAACACTGATGCTGCTGGTCTGGGGACCACAGTTTGAGAGCTCCTGCATAGTAAAGATAATTAAACAGAGAATAGCTGAGTCCTTAGCACAAGTGTGATGTGCTATGTAGATGGCTACTTTGCTCCCAGTGACTTTTAGTAGAGGACCCTAACTCTTCTCAACTCTGGGTTCTATTCATCAACCTTAAAAAGACTCTATGCAACCATTAAACAATCTGAGTGATATACATCCTATTATACGGTAAAATATAGGCCAAAATCAGGAGTGCCCCTGAGAAACTGGATCACTGATTTATTGCTAGTAGGAATGAACAATGGTATAGCCACTCTGGAAAACACTTTGGCAGTTTCTTAAAAAACTAAACTTGCAAACTACCATACGATTCAGCAGTTAGATTCCTGTACGTGAATCCCAGAGAGATGAAAACATATGTTCATACAAAAACCTGTACATGAATGTTCAGAGAAGCTTTATTTGTGATAGCCCCAAAGTAAAAAAGCCCAGATGCTTTTAATGGGTAGATGGTGAAACAAACTGGGGTACTTCTATATCAGGGAATACTGTGCAGCAATAAAAAGGAATGAACTGTTGATTTATGTAACAAGTTGAATGATCTAAAGGGAGTAATGATGAGTGAAAAACGCAGTATCAATAGGTTATGTACTATATGATCTCATTTATTTAACATTCTTGAAATAATAAAATTACAGAGATGGGACAACATGTTAGTGGTTGCTAAGGGTTAGGGTTGGAATTGAGTGGGTAAAGTTTTAAAGGAATAGCAGAGGAGAGCTTTGTGGTAATGAAAGAGTTTTATATCTTAATTGTGGGAGTGTTTACATGACTATACATGTGGTAAAATTGCACGGAGCTACACATACACACAAATGAATGTATGTAAAACTGGTGAAATCTGAATAAACTCTGTGGATTTTATTGATGTCCATTTGCTGGTTTGGATATTGTACTATAGTTAAGTAACATGTCACCTGTGGAGGAAACTGGGTGAAGGGTACATGGACCTCCTGTATAACTTTTTTGAAACTTTCTGTGAATTTATAATTATTTCAAATTAAAAATTAAAAAAAAATCAGAGGTATTCCTCCCTTCAAGGAGGATTGCTGTTTCTCTGAGTAAACTGCCAACAAATTTGTACTTTTGTTTGTTAAATATTGTCTACCTACTGCTTTTTGTCCTTCCCTATTAGGAAAACCTCCTGATGAGGATTCACTTCCACATTGCTGATGAAACCAAAGAGGACATATGCACTGCCCAACACTGCATCTCCCACCAGAAATTTGCAATGACGTTGTTTGAGCAGGTGAACCTTATTTCTATTCCCATCACTTCTTAGACCTTTTCTTCAAGAACACTTTATCCTAGGATGTAGGATGTCAAATGGGTGCCAAAACAGTTAATGACCATGGCTGCTGGTTTTGCTTTTTTCTCCCCGGGCTTAGTGTGTATGTACTAGCTGTGGCGCCACTTCTGATCCGCTGCCTTTCATCCAGATGGTGCATTATATCTCCACTACTTCCCTTTGGTGAGTCTTATAGGGTTCTCTGTTTGTATACTTAGGCAGTCCTTCAGTTGACTGGGTTTTAACTGAAGGTAACCAAATAGCTTGTATCCTTATTGCTGAGTATTTGCTGTATTGTAGGAACTCAGAACAGTAATTTTAAAATAACCTTTGTTTTCCTTCTTTTCTCTCCCATCTGTCCCCTTTTCTTAGTCTCAAGTTCTGGCCAGCAGAGTGGGAGGAGGAATGGGGATTCTATGAGCTTTGGATCTGGGGACAGGCAGGCACACTTACTCTGTGGGATACTGAGGCTGGTCAGGATGAGGGGCTTTGGCATAGTGGGCAGAGGAAGAAAGTCAAACGTGAGTTTGGAATTTGCATGAATGATTTAGCTATAACCCTGTACAACTCCCAACATCATCCCCTTTCAATTCCCCATCTCGAAGCAATCAGGCTATTTGTATGCTGGAAAGACGAGAAAAACCCTCACCAAGCATGTTTGGTGAGCTGCTACAGAATGCCAGCACCATGGGGGATCTGCGGAACTGCCCGGTAAGTTAAGTGAGGGGTGGGGTTCAGAGTGGGGAGGGAAACCCTGAGATTAGTGGAATTGAGGCAGAGTCAGTGGGCAGCATTTCTCACTAGCATTATATATGTATTTCAGAGCAACTGTGGAGAGAGGATTCGGATTCGCCGTGTGTTGATGAACGCTCCACAAATTATCACAATTGGGCTGGTATGGGACTCAGACCACTCAGACTTGGCAGAGGATGTCATTCACAGCCTGGGCACCTGCCTTAAGCTGGGTGACGTAAGTGTTAGTTACCTTTATCTCTTACTTGGAGTTCTTCTAACTTACTATTGCTGAAGGGCAGTGAACTCTGAACACAAAGGTATATCCTAAATGACAAATATTAAAGAGTTTTGAAAAAATATATTGTGTGTATCTGTACACATACATGTGCATACATGTACATGCTCACATACCTCCTTTGCATAGGTGGCAAAGGCTTTTGGGAAGATATGGGATGATCTTGGCCTTGAAAGGCAGGATGGGCAGAGCTTAGCTACTGATAAAAATCAAGTAATTCATAGAGTTATCATATGCTCTAATTATCATTAGTTAATACCAGTGTAGAATAGGGAAGTGTGTTCAACCATGGGAGGTAGTAAGGTCAAAGAAGTGAGCAGTCCTGACTAGTTCTGCTGTGGGAGGTGAAGAAGGTAGAAGTTGATGACATGAGTCCTAGAATATTAAATTCATGGTAGAAACCAACATCTGCTGAGAAGGTAATGAAGTGGCTTGGAAGAGAATTCTAGTGGAAACAGACTTCAGACATGGGCTGTTTACCTTATCGGCGGCATACCCTAGCATAGGTACAGCCGGGATTTTCCTTCAGTTCAAGAGAAGAGCCAGAAAGTCTGTGGTTTCCTTTCTACTGGTTTCCCTCTGGGATGGTCCTGTGACTAAGGAGATCCCTTGTTGTTTTTTAATGTCTTAAGCCACGGTTGAGAATAAGTGAACCATCTGGGATCTTACTTTAGGTCTCCTTGACAAGGAGTCTCTGACATAGTAGGATATGCACAATAAAAGATCATTTTTCTAAATTTCTATAGCCTACATATTCTGTTCTATTCTAGCTTTATTTTTATGATTGATTTTTCAACCAAACAGATTCCTCAAGGCAAGAGTCCTTGCCTTCAAGTATTTTGTATGTCTCTTAACACCTAGGACAGTGCTAGATATCTAAGAATTGAAATGTTGGTAACCAGTATGGTGGGATTGCTCCCCCTAAGGGCTTTCTTACCTTCTACTTAGTGTCTCAACAGGAAATTTATATTTGTGGCACCAGCTGATAAATAACCTTTGAAACTTGAGAATGTTTTGTTTTTATGTTTTTTTTAACATTCCTGGCTTATATTAGAATAGGCCCCAGTAAGAAAATATTATTAAAAGCTATGAAGAGGACTTCCCTGGTGGTGCAGTGGTTAAGAATCCGCCTGCCAGTGCAGGGGATAGGGGTTCGATCCCTGATCCCGGAAGATCCCACATTCTGCGGAGCAACTAAGCCCGTGCGCCACAACTACTGAGCCTGCGCTCTGGAGCCCGCATGCCACAACTACTGAAGCTCATGCGCCTAGAGCTTGTGCTCCACAACAAGAGAAGCCACCTCAATGAGAAGCCCACACACTGCAACGAAGAGTAGCCCCCGCTCGCCGCAATTTGAATGAATGAATGAATAAATAAATAAATAAATAAAATAAAAGTTATGAAGAAACATCACCACATTACCAGTTTGGCCACTATCTCTCTGACATTTCGCTAAAATTTTGCCTTTTTAGGTTCATTTCTGATGATTAATATGGATTAGCAAAAGGAGAAGCAAGTCAGTACCTTAATTAAGAAATGATGGAGTCTGCTGAGAGATGATGTGAGAGGGCTGAGTATGTGACTGTTCTTTCCTTTCTCCTCTTTCCCCACAGCTGTTTTTCAGAGTGACAGATGACCGGGCCAAGCAGTCTGAACTGTACTTAGTAGGAATGATCTGTTACTATGGCAAACATTATTCTACATTCTTTTTCCAAACAAAGATCCGCAAATGGATGTATTTTGATGATGCTCACGTCAAGGAGGTAGGAATATTCAAGTCCTTCTTGACATGTTTGGTGAATGGAACAAAAAACTATGGACAGTTACTTGTCTTCAGTGTTTCATTTTCATAATTTTAATGTCTGTCTGCCTATCTGTTGAATTTATGGGAGTGTCAGTCTTGTCTTCCCCAACAGACCGAGTTCCTTGAGGACAGGATCAATTTATCTTCTATTATTTTCTCGGAATCACCTCACCAGCATTCAGAACCATTCTGAATTTATAGTTGAAAGGGCTTTTTAAAAAATGTGTTAATTTGTTGATTTGAGCGAGAACAATCTAATGCCTCAAATTAGGTTATAAGCTTAGCACAGAGTTCAGAATTCCAAATCTTGTAATTAACAGTGGGTGATACTTTGTCCCAGGGCTGCTATAAATTATTCTCTGATTGTTATCTCCCTGAAGTACTCTATCATGGATTAATGTATTTTGGGGATAGTGTAGAGAAAATAAGGCTATAATGATATTTAAAGTTGGAAATTTGGTACTATCTAAACCACAGAGTGTGTGGCTGAAGTAGTTTAGGTGATCTGTGTGAGTTAGGAAGCCTCTTGTGATAAGGTTAGCAGCTAGGAGACTGCTGACTATAATCTACACCAACCCATGGGCCTTATGTAGTGTCCTCTACAAATAGTAAAGTCTTTGTTAATTCCCTGATTCTCTTCTTCATCTCTTTTTTACTGTTGTAATCTTGGGCAACTTATGTAAATTCTTTGAGCTTTAGGTTTTTCATTTGAAAAATAATACCTGCCTTATAAAATATTAAATCAGATTTGTATGTAAAAAGCATATAAATGTTTCAGTTAAAATGATAACTCAGTTATAAATTTACTGAACGTCTATTATGAAATAAACACTGTGCCAGTGGTCTGACTCCAAGAACACACCATCTAAGAATGTGACTGGATCAAACTTAAAAGAGAGTGAGTTTGGGGATTTGATTGGATTGTTGTTTCCATGGCTATTCTGTCACTTTTTTCCACTGCCGTGGCAGCGCTGAATCCAGCACAAAGCTAAGGCTGAGAGGTTCAGCTGTATATTCTAAGCAGTTTGACATTTTATGTCCTGCCTTGTGTGAACTCTGAGACGGAATGTCACTTATTTTCAGGCAGTCTGTGAGAGGGTTTCTGTCTGCTCTTTAGCTTCATGAAGGTGATTTTAATATTTAGGAGAAAATTATAGCAATGCAAATTTCAAACAAGGGCCTTTATTTGATGTCTGTGAAAAGAAATTGATCACCAAGTCAACTGAAGTCCCCTCACATAGCATATTCAGCTTTGAGAACTTTTATTCATATTTCATAATTGAGTTGATGTTTCACAGGAATAAAAGTAATTTTATTCATTATTCCTATCTCTTATAGGGTTTTAGTGCTTTCTAAAAGGATTTCATTAAAAAAGACTTAACAAAAAATTCATTGGGGGCTTCCCTGGTGGCGCAGTGGTTGAGAGTCCACCTGTCGATGCAGGGGACACGGGTTCATGCCCCGGTCCGGGAAGATCCCACATGCTGCGGAGTGGCTGGGCCCGTGAGCCGTGGCCGCTGAGCCTGCATGTCCTGAGCCTGTGCTCCACAACGGGAGAGGCCACAACAGTGAGAGGCCC